CTTTCTTTCTTTCTTTCTTTCTTTCTTTCTTTCTTTCTTTCTTTCTTTCTTTCTTTCTTTCTTTCTTTCTTTCTTTCTTTCTGTGGGCCTTTGAGTCAGTGTTGACTCCTGGTGAGTGCCTGCACATGTCCGTGCAGGTTTTTTGGCAAGATTTCAAAAGTGGTTTGCCATTGCCTCCTTCCTATGGCTGAGAGAGAGGGACTGGCCCAAGGTCACCCAGTTGGCTTTGTGCCTAAGGCAGGACTAGAACTCGTGGTCTCCCAGATTCTGTGCTTAAGCCTGATACCTTGACCACTATGCCATACTGGCTCTCCAGGATATTCTTCTAGAACCCAAGAATTAACTAGCCAAGTTTCCTGTTGATGCCTCTGAGGTTTGTTTGTTTGTTTGTTACTTCAATTTATATAGCTGCCCATCTCAAATATGTAACTCTGGGCATCTTACAGAAGGCTTATGACTCTGGGTTGTCAGGAGTTCCTCTGTTTTCTAGTACCCTTTTTCATGCTATCCTTCCCCCTGGAAGTGGACAATATTGTACAAGATATTCTAAAACTTTATTTGAAACATTTGCTTTGGTACCCTTTAGGTTCTTTGGTGGATGATGAATCACTGATTGGTGTTTTGAGAACCACTAAACAAACAGCTATGGAGGTATCTGAAAAACTAGAAGTTGCAGGAGAAACTGAGAAAAAAATTAACACTGCACAAGAGGAATATCGCCCCGCTGCTACACGAGGAAGCATTCTTTATTTTCTTATCACTGAAATGAGCATGGTTAACACGATGTACCAGACATCCCTAGCCCAGTTCTTAAAACTGTTTGATCAGTCCATGGCTAGGTAAGAACACAATGTTATTCTATGCAGTGATGTTTTATTGCATTCTCTCCAATATTTATTTTAACTTTACCAATTTGCTTGCTGTGTTTTTGCACCTTAGATCTGAGAAGTCTCCTATTCCACAGAAAAGGATCTCAAACATTATTGAGTTCTTGACATATGAAACTTTTGCATATTCTGTTAGAGGCCTATATGAAAACCACAAATTTCTTTTTACCCTGCTTTTGACATTAAAAATTGATCTTCAGAGGGGCCAGGTCAAACCAAAGGAATTCCAGGCACTCATTAAAGGTAATCATCTAGAGCTCTATATTAATTTTAGTTGTATAGTGGGCTACATATTTTGCATTTTTATCCTCATGACAATCTGGTATGAAGATTAAACAGAGCAGGCAACAACTAAAGCCATTGGGTCAAAGCATCAGAGATTTGATTATGGATATTCTTTAGACAGTTCTCTTTCATTATTACAAACCATATAGTATCAATTTTACTAGAATGTAAATGGCTTCCAAACATTCTTAAGGCTGCAAGTCCTCTATGCACAGATATATAACTGAGCTTTTACAAGATAATCTCTAGATTAGAGATTCTAGCTTGAATGGAATAGTGGGAATGTGGTTAGGGTAAATTGGGCTTTGATGTGCTTGTGGCATACTGGCCTAAATGTATCAAAGCTGATCATATTGTCTTTACATTTAGCAGTGAATGCCTTGTGTGGCACAGATGCAATTTAGGCTGGTAATTAGTGTACATCTTCTCTGTCTTGCTGAAAAGCATTATGTGAACCCTTCAATTGATCAAAGCCATAATAGGTGGCAGAGGTTAACATCTGTGGGCCTATCTGGTGATGACCACGGCAGATAGAAGATTGCAACTTGGAATGTTAGGGGAATAACTGGTAAAGGGTATGAATTAATGAATGAAATAAAAAAGGAAATATGTGAGTGTGAAACTAAGAGAAAATGGATTAATAGATATGAATGAAGGAGCAGGCTTGAAAGTGAAGGTGTAATACAGATTTAATTACAAATGAAAGGGTGAGAATATTTGTCAGAAAGTATGAATTGGTGTCATTTAAGTTGTTGTGGATGTATATGAATATCTATGTGATTCAAGGTAAAAATTAGATGGCATGAATGGATGGATGGGGACAAGACATGAGAGTACAAATACAAGAAGTAATTTGGCAATTTGGAGACACAAGGATGAATGTGAATGGTAATTGTTTGGTGAGTATTTCCTTCAGTTTGTATGATGGAATATCTAAAAGACCCTGGAAATATGGAGATAAGAGCCAGACTGTTACAGGAGGAAACAGGGCTGTTATAAAAAAGATTCTTGTGTCCAGGAGAAAGAGCAGATGTTAGAAGGAGATTCAGATTAACTCTTGCTTTAATTATGCTAGGTATAAATTAAGCTGGAGAATAGCTTTGACAGGTTTTCAGTATTCTGTTACACTGCCCTACTAGCAATAAAGATCTTTCCAAACACCCAAATGGTTCTTGTTCCCTGAGTTTGCCAGCCTAAAGGGCTTGAAATTCATTTCAAATGCAGTTTAACTATACATCAATTCAAATGGCTTATGGAAAATGAATAAACTGAACAGCATGATTGATGTATTTATTATGAAATATTGAGAGAATTGATGAAGGATACAAGGGTGATGAGAGGTTCTGAATATGGGACAGACCATTATTTAGTAGTTTCAAGAGTGGATTTTCAGGAAAACGTGGACATGAAAAAAGAACAAACTAGAACAAAAGTAGAATGGATGCAAAAAGAGAAAATACAAGTCCAGTATGGAAATATATTAGAAAAAAAAATATATTCTCCCAAAAGAATCAATGAAAAATGTGCATAAGAAAAGAGGATATGGAAGTTGCATGGAACAGAGTGAAAAAAAAAATTGTCTTACAGATTGCCATAGGAGGGTTTGGATTTATTCCAGGGGAAAGTATAAAAAAGGACATTTAGTAGAATGATGAAGAGATTATTAAACTGATAAGAACAGATACTACACTTGATCTTAGCCAAAAGGCTGAGAAGCGATGAAGAAGAGATTACTGATAAGTAAAAATGTGTACATGAGAATGGTTGCTGCAAAAAATGAGTATGAGAGGAAAATATTGTATAATATGTATACAGTATATTGAAAATATAATTGCAAAGTATTTACTCAAAGAGAACAATAAAAGAGACAGGAAAAATGCAAAGTGACTTGATGAAAGTAAAAATTGTTTTGAAAGTGGGTGAGGAGAGCTTAAATAAAGAGCCTCTAGCAAAGTGAATGGAATTAAAAATTAAAGTGACTAAATGACTTGGAATGAAATTCCAGTGAGAGAAGTGAGAGAATGTTGGAAGGAGTACTGAGATTTTTATGGGAATGAGATATCAAAGAATGGAATTGACATGATTGTTATAAATGTTAATGTCCAATGCTGTGAGAATATTGAAAAACGGTAGGCTGCAACTGTAGATAGTGTAAGTAGAAAAATATTAAATATGGACATGGTTTGCCTAAGGAATAGCTGTGCGCCTTATTTAACTTGTAGGTGAAGTTTGCAGCAGTTGGAAGAATGTTCTAATTGTTCCTCTTGACAAAAAGAAAGGTAGCAGGAAAGGATGCAAAATGTACTCGGGGATTTGTTTGTTAGCTGTGCATGGGAAGGTGTTTGACAGAATGTTGATTGAAAGGATACAAGAGGTGACAATGAGCCACATCTGGAAGTGTGGCTTTGTGCCTGGCAGGAACTGCACAGAGCCAAGTTTTGCTCTTCATCATGTCACTGAAAAATGAACATGAGAAAGTTTATTGTACTTTTGTTGATTTAGAAAAAAATGTATGATCAAATGAATAGCTTGAATTATAAAATGTTTTACATGAATATGGATTTGAAGGTTCAGTGCTGAATTTGATGAGAGGTATATGACAGTAAAGAGTAAAGAATGTGTGAGAATATGGAATGCTTAGCAAATGATTCAGCCCAGATAAAATGGTGTGCAATGTCCTGTTGGTTGAATGTCGGTATAAATAAATATATAAAAAATATTTGTGGCATTAAAGATGTGTTGGTTGGGGATGGGAAAGTATGTGGACTTTTGTGTACAGGTAGTGCTGTGTGATCACTTGAGAACTCAATTTGCAGCAAATATTAGACTGTATAAGAGAATGGATCTGAAAACTAATACATCAAGAAAACAAAGGTAGTTGTGCTTGAGAGGAAAAGGGAGTGATGATTTATATATAAATGGTGAAAAAAAGCCAAACAAGTAGATGAACCGTGATAGAACATTTACTAAAGATGGAGAAATGGATGGACAAATACTAAGATGTGTAAATGCTGGTAAAACTAATTGTCCATTGTGAGGAATTAATATTAAGAAAAAAAGGCTTTATATAAGAGCCTGATTCAGTCTAATGTGTTATATGGAAGTGTGAATTGGGGATGTCAGAAATATCAAGGTGTGCAATGGGAATAGGGTACTTCAGAACTGAGTGTGATAAAACAGGAAAAAATGTCAAGAATGAACAGCTGCTGAATGAGTGTGGATCGAATACAACAGTGCGTGAGCAGTAACAAAACACATGGAGGTGGTTTAATAATATAAAAATAATGAATGAGGATCAAGTTGCAAAAGATATGAAGAATAAATGGGTCAAGAGGAAGGGAAAGGCCATGAAAGTTGTGACTTGTTGGAGTTGATGAGATCTTCGGAAAGAGAGAGGTGAGATGTTTAGAGAACAGGAGTGGTTTGGATATAGTAGAAGTAAAGTTGGTTTGCAGGAATAGGAAGCTATGAAGACATATAGCAAATAGTCTTGGTGTAAATTGGATTTAGCTATATTTCTTTTCCTTTCTCTGATCTTCCTTTAATTTATTTTCCTTACTATTTCTTAGTGCTTTTCTGTGGTTTGCATAACACTGCTTATTCTCAAAGAAAATAGCTTGATGGGTATGTACATAGTAATCTTTCCTTTACTTTCTAATTGAAGTAAGACAATTACACTCATCCCATGCTAGGGCCAATATGATTTGGAGAACAAAGGTCTGTGCAGTGTGATCATAAACTTCTTTATTCAGCACTCAGTCCTGCTGAGTTCAATATGAGTTCAACTCCCTAAGAAGTTTGCTTAGAATTTCATTGTCTGTGCAGTCCTAAACATGTTTTATTCAGAAGTCCCTCCCATCAGGCAGTGGGCTAGCTTCCAGTAAATGTTCTTTGGATTCCAACATTATTCTCTGTCTGAGACACAGATAATCTGAAAAAAACCTGTGTATGGAATAATTTGATACTTGGGATAAAAGCTGCTGATTTTTTGTTATCGTTCAGACATAGTAATAAACACAACATGTATGTATTTCATAATAATATTATATCTTAAGGCATGATATAGCTTTTTGTTAATCATAGGGACCATTGTGAATAACTGCTAATGTTTTTCATCCAGGGGGTGCTGCACTGGATCTAAAAGCTTGTCCTCCCAAACCATTCCGATGGATTCTAGATATGACATGGCTAAATCTGGTAGAACTGAGCAAACTACCACAGTTTTCAGAAATTATGAATCAGGTATGTTTATAGCCTTATTTTTGCTTCTCTTAGCATTACCAAAGAATCCTATTGACTTTTATGAGCACTTGTGACATGGCCATTAATCCCAGGGCATTATATTGTTCTGTATTTTAATTGCACATACATTTTTCTCCCATGCCTCAAGATAGGTGAATGCAGAAATCATTATAAATGCTTTCACGTTTTGAAATGTGATATGAAGGAACCTTTCCTCAACCCAAAGTCTTCAATGAAGTGTAGACTTCCTGTCCATTCTTTAAAGGAAAAAAATAACATTGACTATTACCTCTGGTTCATAATTAGATATGTCGTAATGAGAAAGGATGGAAAAATTGGTTCGATAAAGATGCTCCAGAGGAAGAAACTATTCCTGATGGATATACTGATTCACTAGATACCTGTCGCAAACTGTTGCTTATCAGGTAAAAATCATAAGTAGTTTTGGCGTTACTTGTTTTTTATATGTCCTTAGTTCTTTTCAGGAAGTGCTGTATTTTGGCACTGGAAGATACACATTTTCTAAAATGTTATTTTTAAAGCCTTAAAATAATTATGAATGAATGATGTAACGCCAATTTGGGAATCATTGCATATGTTTTTTGTAGGTCTTGGTGCCCAGACCGCACAGTTTCTCAGGCCAGGAAGTATATTGCAGATTCATTGAATGAGAAGTATACAGAGCCCGTCATTTTAAATTTGGAGAAAACATGGGAGGAAAGTGATAGAAGAACACCTCTCATTTGTTTCTTGTCTATGGGATCTGACCCAACTATCCAAATTGATGCATTGGCCAGAAAACTTAAACTGGGTATAAGTATATGTTACATTTTAAAACAAGAATTTTAGAAAATTGCTACGCTAAATATTTTTTAGTGAATCTCTTTGTAGTCCTACCTTTTGTAATAGTTTCTTCCACTAAATAAAGCCTGGCTCCTTAATAGGGTACCTGCAAACACCTGTCCGGAGAGATGGGCGGCATACAAATTTAAAAATAAATGAATGAATGAATGTCCCTGTGGACAATCGCTCAGTGCCTGCAGGCTCTATATCCTACTTTATTTTATTTTCCATACTTTTAATTAAATAAACAATGTAACAGAAAGCTATCATGCTGTAAAAGCAATGTGGGAGTAGCACAAGCAAGAATAAAATAAATATTCAGTAATAATATGGAACAAAACAATAACCCTGGAACTGAGATAAATCAAAGATATAAGGTATTCTTCAATAAGGACTACATCAAAACAATAATTGAAAAAAACGGATTAATGAAAATAATTCATTTTACTCTTTTCAAAATGTGTTTGCAGTTGAGAAAACAGAAATATTTGCACTTATTAGCGTTTTATTGTGTCATTTATTGTAGAAAACAGAGCTATATCCATGGGTCAGGGACAAGAAGTTCATGCACGAAAACTAATTCAGATGTCAATGGTACAGGTAACATGCAATGTTCTAAAATTCATTGACTTTTTTATTGATTGATTGATTGATTGATTGATTGATCGATCGATCAATCGATCGATTGCCTGCCTGCCTGCCTGCCTGCCTGCCTGCCAAAATGTTTTGTATTTGAAAAAGAAAGGCTACAGTCCTTTACTTACTGACTTGGGGATAACTCTCATTTAACTAAATAGCTCACTAGTTATGCCCAGATTTCAGAAAATAAAATGTATTACTCCAAAAAAATTACCATTGCCCTAAACTGACAATAACTGTCCTACTGTAATGTTTATCACTACCACAAGATGGCAGTACTACTTTATTTACAATTGGAATCTACTTCTTTCATTTGTATGCGAATCCATACTTGTTTTTGATAGTATTAACAAACAAATCCAAAATATTGGAGAACTTCATATGTATAGTATATTAAAGATAAATTGCCATTAGAAAAATCTTCATATAGTGTTGTTAATCAGTAGCAGTATGCTCAGACAAATGGTTTAATCAATGGTTTTGGGTACAGGGTGGCTGGGTGTTACTTCAGAATTGTCATCTAGGTCTAGAATTTATGGAAGAACTTTTGGAAACATTGATGACTGCTGATATTCCTGATGAGACCTTCCGAGTTTGGATAACCACTGAACCACATGATAAATTTCCAATCACTTTGCTGCAGGTAAGTTAAATCTAATGAAATTGGGAGTGTTTAAATAAACTATATTGATAAAATAAGTCAACTGAAAAACACTGTCTTCTTTGGAACTGAAAAATCTAAACATTTAAGTCATGTGAGCTAGTTTGGATTAAGACCAGGCCAAAAGACAAGTAGTTTTCTACTCCTTTATGGGGACTATTAGTTATCTGCCAACCAGATGCCCGATATGTTCAAAACCAGTTGACATCCAAAAGCTCTGCAGTATCTGATTCTCTTGAGTCACCCAAATCACTCAGTGCAGATCACTGCTGTTTTGAACTAGTAACAGAGTAGCTTATGAATTCATGTTTACAGGTATTAGACAATTGAAGGGAAGTAAGTGAATATAGGCAACATGGATTAAAACATTCTGATTTTAGTGGAATCTAGCAGAAGCTACTACTCATGGAAAGGGAAGAGGAAGTGACGATTACTGATTCCCCATTGATCTTATGGCTACCCATGCTCTTAGCAGTGCTGTTTGGGAGGGTGTCATTCAACTCTCTAATAAGATTTATGGTGAAGAGGTGCTTCTGTGGTCAAGTGTTTCCACTCACTGAATCTATGAATCATGTCTATATAATCTTTTGAAAACAGAAGTGGCAGGGGCTTAAGCTGACTTTCTAACTGCAAGGTCAAAGTTCAATGAGGGAAAAAACACACTGAACATACTGAGATTTTTCTTTATTATTGCTTCTCATATACCAGAAGTCATTGTTATAATTAAAAACCAATTCCAAGACTGAGCACTGTTGTCATCCCCACGAGGTAGACCAGACCAGAAAATCTACTCCGCATGAAGGCTAAAATTACTTTTACTGAGACTGGCTATAATAACAGAATCTCAATCTCTCATCTCTGATTGTCCTCTCCCACTTATTCTTCAGTGAATTAGGGAGGTGTCTGCCTGAGCCACTTCCGAATGTTATTTCATTGTCCTGGAGTTAAGAAATGTTTCAGTCTCTTTTGCCTAAATAACAGTCTGTCAAGGTCATCTTCCTTACTCGCTATAACTATTGAAGCTGTGCACAAATGGATTGGGAGGAGACAGGTGGACTGTGGGAAGATGTAGATATTGGAAAAGGAAATCCCCATTAATAGAAAGAAATAAGAGAAAAAAGAGGGAGAGTTTGTGAACTTTTTGTGATTTGGCTATTTTAGGTTTTAAGTTGACATGTTGGAATGAGATAGATTTTCTTGATGTTATTTAAATGCTTTAGCCCTGTAAGACAGTGCTGAAACACATATGAAGTATATGTGCCTTTATGTTTGGTCACATATCCGTCATTCAAACCTTCATTAAGCACAGTCACAGTAGGATTTGCAGCAAACTGCAAAAACAGCAAATATTTGAGATGCACACCATGATACATGTTCATGCAAATGTCGCCATTGCATACATACGTTCCAATGTCTGAGACAAGTATGTAAGTCACAGCATCTGTGTGATGACTGTCATGAACATGTCCTCATTTGCTCTTCCTGTCCCCTTGCAGTTGCTATAGTAAACATTCTAACTAGTACATTTTGTTGTATTTGTGGACTTGCTGAAACAACATCATTTCCTAAACGTGCGTGCCCTGACCTTCAGTTTTCAAAACTGTGTGGCATCCCTCTTTTAGAATCAAAAATAATAAACCCTTTCTTCATTTTATTCCAGACTTCAATAAAATTCACCAATGAACCTCCACAAGGAGTACGAGCTGGTTTGAAGAGAACGTTTTCTGGGATAAATCAAGATCTGCTTGATGTCAGCAATATGCCTATGTGGAAACCTCTTCTTTACACAGTTGCCTTCTTACACTCTACTGTTCAGGTATTACAGTTAGATAGCACATTTTATGCCTAATAGAATCTTTCCTTTGGGAACCATAGTAAATAACCCTGGTAATTTATTGAGGCCTACAAGCTTTAGATTTCTAATGCCAAATGAAGGCCATATGTGGTGAACTTATCCTTCAATTTCAAATGTTTCTCTGTTTGATTCAAAAGGCTGGCAACAGCTTAATTCTAGTTGTACTGATAGCCCTGTTACTTCCTTGTTTCTTCTTTATATTGTGACCAAGCACCACACTTACACAATAGTGTAAAAGTAATAATATTTATTGTAACTTTTGAAGAAGGAATATAAATTATTATTATTTCTTGTAACCCTAACCCTAACCCTAAATTAAGAAGACCGAAAGCCTTTGTCCTATTGTATGAATAGGATTTGGGAAAATATACCATGTTTACTTTTCATGGTACACTGAATTTTGGATTATTTCCAGTTCTACCTACACATATATTATGCTGCATAAGCTATTCACAGCAAGAATATGTCCATCTATCAGTGTTATATATTAAATATTTTGCTGTATTAATGTGAAATGTCAGTAATGGAGGTTACATTAAAAAAAATTATTGTATTGGTCATGAAAAAATCCAAAACTGTGTAAGAGCTATATACTGAGAAGGCTTAATAATGATATTTCTCTAATATGGATATTGGTAATTGCTAAACAAAATACTATCATTAATGAAAAAGCAATACATACATACATACATACATACATCTAAATAAATCACTACTTGTTATATATTTTCTTTAATAAGGAAAGGCGAAAATTTGGTCCTTTGGGCTGGAATATTCCCTATGAATTCAATTCTGCAGACTTCACAGCCAGTGTTCAATTTATACAGAATCATTTGGATGAATGTGACATTAAGAAAGTAAGTATTTATATATTTGTACTTAGAAGTGCTGCCAAACAGTTATGAATCTGAGATGGGATAAAAATTTCACAGTCTTCTAAAGCTCACTAGAAATGCGACTTGGTTACTGATATAGATGAAAATTCAAGTTGAAGCGTAATTCTGAGTTTACCCTTCCCCTGCCCAGCCCCCTGTGTCTCAAATGACTGCTTTGTGTGACCAGAATTGTTGAAAAGCTTTTGCAGAAAAAAATCTCCTGGCAATATTGTGGGCTGTTTTGTGTGTGGAATGGAGTTTAATTAAGAGCTGGCAGAGTGATCTTGTTCTCATTGGAACTGGCTTGGCTAATTTCTTAGCTGATCCAATGCAAGTCAAAAACCACTCACCCATCTCTACCTGTACTGATCTTCTGCTACACTGAATTGTGAAAAATATCTTGATTTAATACACTTCATAAGCAGAGCCACAGTCCTTCAGTGTAGACAAAATTCTTACAGTTCTGAAAATCACTTGTGTATTTACTTTCAGGATTTTTCTCCCATGTTTATTGAATAAATCAGAACTGCACATACACACTTCTTAAAAATATAGTGAATAGTATTTAATAACTGGTACGTTATGAGGAGGAAATGTGTTTTGAATGGCAGTACTGTTGCCCAGTCAAAGGGCAATACTTCCACACTGCACAGCTAAATTAGACAGAGAGATCAAGCTTCAGAAATATGTTTATGCCCCTCAAAAAATATAATACATTTTGGGCAATATGGGGAGGGCATTAAAAGAATGCAGACATACAGATGAAGGAAAGGGGGATGTGTTTGTGACTATGTTACATAAGAACAATGAAACATCCCTTGGCAATATAAAACTGGAAGTGTTGACCACGATGCACACCTGAATTTGATATTAGACTGCATATAGTAATGTGAATTCAAATGCATGTATTTTTTGCTTGAGAAGCTTACTCTTCTCTCAGAAGAGTGTATCAGTCTGGAGTGTGTAAGAGGTATTCTGCCCTCTTACCCTGCCCTGCCAAGAGCCAAAAAATTGCAATGAGCTGGTAATCTTGAGTGGAGTGGTTTTAGCCTCCCAGTTGTACTGTAATCTGCACAATATTGTTGTTATTAGGATTCAAATGCACTTACCTGCACAACTAGAGTTAACTTAAGAGCTCAGGATGAAAACAATGCCCATTTGTTTACTTCTTCTGGCATCACTATACAGACAAACTTTTGGCTTCACAAAGCTCACTGTGTGCTTCTAGTTTTCCTGGATTATACAGCAAAAGAGGAAGAAAAAGCCCTGCCAAATCATGAAAACTGAGGCCAAAGCAGCAATATAGGGTGCATATATTGTGGTATGCCACTGCCTTTTGTATGCATAGCTGTACCTATAACAAGATGGATTATACACTAAGCAATTGCTTAAAGAACAAGGAAACACCATCTATATTTTAGACAGCAGGCTATTCAGCATTGGCCACAATGCATTTATACTACATGCAGGTAATACTGTGATGTATAACTGGATTACCAAGGTAAATTTGCAAATGATGTTTTGCTATGCATTTTCAGCTATCTGGATTGATGAAAATCTAATAACCTTAGCTTCACAAAGTCACAAAATAGCCTTGGTTTGCTTTCCCATTTGAGGAATTTCTTAGAATAATGTTTTCTAGAGCAGCTCAGATATCTTTAAAAGTTAGCACTTTGACCTTTCCTATACCAAGAGGAAAAGAGGTTAATGTCTTGTGAAAATCCAAGTCTCACACTTTGATAAACTCCAAGATCCCTGCACATAAACTGAGTGTAAACTCATGTAAGGGAGAGGTTTGCAACAATAGACTATGATTAAAAACTTGATATTTAACATATTATTATTATTATTATTATTTTATTTTACATTTGACACATTTTTCTCTAGGGAATATCTTGGAGCACAGTCCGATACATGATTGGAGAAGTACAGTATGGAGGCAGAGTCACTGATGATTATGATAAGCGTCTTCTTAACTGCTTTGCAAGGGTAAGAAAATAGGATGAAACAGTTTTTAATCACCAAAAAGCTTCAAATTAAACTACAGAACAGTTTTTAAATATTCTGCCAATATATTAAGGCAGCCACAGTAAGAAATACATCCTTTGGAAACAGGGTTTTGTTGGACAACCTGCCAGAACTATTGCAGCAGGAGCCTATGGCCCAGCTTTGCTTCCTCCTCGTCCCGTTCTCTTCCTCCTTTCACTGCTGGGTTCACCTGCCCTCTGTACAACTGGCAAACTGGTTTACAGGATGCTGCCCCTTCTCCTTGAAGGAAGTTTGGGCCAATGCCAAATGAGTGGGCAGTGGAAACGAGAGGGAAGTGACCCCTTTAAATCACCTCGCCTAAAAGTTTCCTGAATCTTAGAGCCAGTATTGCTTGAAAATTAAAGCTTTTTTAGTTTGGATGCTGTATTTCTCATAAGATCAATATATTAGAACCTTCTTGTAGCTAGATTGAAGAATACACCTCTTTCATAGTTTGTTGTTTTAAGAAGGAAACTCTCAAATGCTTTAAGAAGTAAATGACTTATGCAGTTGAGGTCTTGGTGTACACCAATAGTTTGGCTTTAATGATCCTCCTCATAGAATAGAAAGAAAGAAAGAAAGAATTTCTTTCTTTCTACTTGAATCACATAAATCCAGCTCCTAATCTATGTATATTATTCTTACAGAGGTTATTTGTGACCTTAACTGTTAACTTTTCACCATTAATTTGTATAGGTCTGGTTCAGTGAGAAGATGTTTGAAAATACTTTCTGTTTTTATTCTGGATATAAAATCCCAATCTGCAAAACTCTTGATCAATATCATGAGTACATTTCAACTCTCCCTTCCATGGATAGTCCTGAAGTCTTTGGTCTCCACCCTAATGCAGACATAACGTAAGTAGGTCTAACAAGGTGACATTCAAGTTTTTAAAAAGTTATATTTAGTAACAAAGGACATTTTACTGGAAATTTCAGAGTCTGAATAAATCCAAAATTGAAGGAGGCTTTCCTTGACTTCCCAAGGATTAAAGATTCAGGCCAATGTACATATACCTGAAACTAAGCTCTGTTGAACTGTGACTTACTTTGGAGGTGGCATGCATAGGATTGTGCTGCAAAGTATAGATCTTGAAAAGTGTGTTTGCGCTATAAACATAAAGCATTTCCCAAATGCTCAGGCTTAAAATTCAGCAGCACTTTTGTCTCACCTTATTATATTAAATGATCCAGTTGACACTTTTACAAGCAGAACTTAGTTTAAACAGATTGGAAAAAAGGTAATAATTCTGAACTTCTCCGGAAGTGCTTCTAGTTTAGAACTGCTTATCAGATGAGAATTTCAGTCTCATCTGATAAGCAGTTTCAAATAGAAATGAAATGCATGTGAGCATCTTTTTACCCTTAGCAGATTATTTGTTATTTTCTGCTTCAAAAATTTTATAGCTTATTATAGGATATAATCAATCCATGATATTTTGTTTGTCTCCTTATAATTAATTTAATTGTTATGAATTATATAATTTGCAAGATGTTCATACTTAATATTTAAGGATTGTTAAAAATAAATTAAAATGTCTCATTTGCATTACTATCAAAGTTTAAACAGCTTGTTTATATTTAGTCCCATTTTTTCACTGTGCTCCTTGACTTTCAATACTAGAGTTTGTAGATCATTTGCATTTTCAGCTATCAGAACAATGTCAGGCTGTTGATGTTCCTTCCCTGTTTTAAAATCATGGCCATCTTCTTCCAATCCAGCTTTCCTCAATATATATTCAGCATATAGGTTGAATAAATAAGGGGAGAGTATACAGCCTTGCCTCACTCCTTTGCCAACCTGGACCCAGTTTGTTTTGCCATGTTCTGTCCATACTGTGGCTTCCTGACCTGTATATAAGTTTCTCATGAGGACAAATACCCACTGTACTTCTATCTTGTCTGCTTTGAGCTTCAGTTTACTAGGCCTCATCAGTCCATTCCTATGATGACAAGAGGGGAAAGGACAGAGGGAGTTTTTCATAAAATTGCCAATAGCCTCACAGACAATGGGGTTTGATTGATAGATTGATTGATTGATTATGTGCCATCAAGTTGTTTTTGACTCCTAGCAACCACATAGATAGATTTTCTCTATGACGATCTATCCCTAACCTGATCTTTCAAGTCTCCCAAAGGTGCACTCATTATCACCGTAACTGAATCCATTCACCTTGCTGCTGGTCATCCTCTCCCTCTCTCTCCTTCCACCTTTCCCAGCATTAGAGTCTTTTCCAGAAAGCTGGGTTTTCTCATAATGTGTCTGAAGTAGGATGATTTGAGCCTGGTCATTTGTACCTCAAGTGAGAACTCTGGGTTGATTTGTTCAGTGATCCATTTGTTTGTTTTCTTGACTGTCCATGGTATTCTCAGGGGTCTTCTCCAACACCAAAGTTCAAAACCATCAATACTCCTCCGTATCCTGCTTTCTCAAAACCCAACTTTCACTTCCATAGAGCGTCACAGGGAACACCATGGCTTGCACTGTTCTGATCTTTGTAGGAATAGACACATCACAGCAGTTGAATATCTTTTCCAAGGCCTTTGTGGATACTCTACTGGGTGCTAGTCTGCGGCATATTTTTGACTGCTTATTCCTTTACTGTTGACGGTTGATCCTAAAAGGCAGAAGCTGTCCATCTTTTTAATATCTTTATTGTCAATTCTAAGACTGGTTGTTGTACCTGTTGTCATTAGTTTGGTCTTCTTTATATTTAATTTTAGTCCCATTTTTTCTCTGCGCACTTCGACTTTTACTACTAGGGCTTGCAGTTCTTTTGCATTTTCAGCTATCAGGGTAGTGTCATCAGTGTAGCACAGGTTATTGATGTTTCTTTCTCCAATTTCAAAACCACACTTATCTTCCAATCCAGCTTCTTTAACATATATATTCTGCATATAGGTTGAATAAATAAGGGGAGAATATGCAGCCTTGACACACTCCTTTGCCAACCTGGACCCAGTCTGTTTTGCCATGTTCTGTCTGTACTGTGGCTTCCTGACCTGTATATAAGTTTTTCATAAGACAATGAGATGTTCTGGGATTCCCATTTTTCTGAGCACTTTCCACAGCTTGACATGTTCAAAACAATTGAAGCCCTTTCTATAATCAATGAAATACACACTGACTTCTTTTTGGTATTTTTTGGCTTTCTCAATTAACCAGCATGTATCAGAAACAATGTGTTGTGTTCCTCATCCTTTTTAAAGCCAGCTTGAATATCTGGGATCTCCCTTTCCATGTAAGGCTCTAATATGGATTGGATGATCCTAAGTATTATTTTGCTAGCATGTGAAATTAAGAATACAGTGGTACCTCGGGATACGAACTTAATCTGTTCCGTGACTCTGGGTGTATCCCAAGTTGGTCGTAACCCGACGCAAATT